TAATATGTTTTGGCTAAAAATAGAATACCAAATGATGGCTATGATGGTCTTAAATTGAGTACCACAGAAGAATATTATGATTTTTTTTATACTTTATGTTATCACATACTTGTATTTTCTTAGGGTAGACATCATGGATATTGCCATAGGAACAGAAATTTATAGTCCCGTAAAGTGTGAATTTCCAACATACAGTAAAAATGACATTTTAAATGTAAATATGTTGTTATATTTATTATACTGCAGACATGAAAAATAAAAATGTACATAAATTTAAGGAAATAAGTAAAAGTTTAAAATAAATGAAGTACAAGAGGTGAGATAAAGAACAGGAAGTGTGGATGTGTTCTGTGTTTGGTGTTATTAAATCTTCTGTAAGAGAAAATCCTATAAGTTTTTGGAAATGAAGAATTTTTTGTTCATTGTTTATTGTCATAAAGAAAGTATTTCTAAAGTGCAGGATTTGTGATTGGCATAGATTTTCTTTTGCTTTTATGTAATTTATTTATTTTTTATTTAAGAAATTATAGGTTGAATGTATTTTCTATGATACCTCTGAGAATATTTTAAAAGAAATACATGCTATTTAAAAAGTAGAAATATATGTAAATAAAAATTTTGGTCTTTATATTAAATATTTTCACTTTTTCTATTGTGTTTGTTACCTGATTAATATAAATTTAAAAATTCACAGGTATTTCTTTATTTTTGGTTAGCTAATTTGAAAGCCAGCTGCTTTACTAACATATCATGACAACTTTGATAATTGAATTATCTATTTATCTATCTATCTATCTATCTATCTATCTACCTATCATCTATCCATCTATCATCTCTCTATCTAATATTTTTTCTCCAAGTCTATAGCAAACATTTTCCTTCTCTCAATGTTATCTTTTAATGAAATCTATTTCATTAGCTTTTTTTAATTGCTACCATTTTTTATTTATATCAAAGCTGATAAAGCTTTCCTTCTTTGAAGGTCATAACAATATTACTCATTTTTTCTAGATATATTGTTATTTTATATTCTGTATTGGGCTTATTTTCAGTTCAGATTAATATTTTGTATGGTGTGTAGTAAATTTTTGATATTCAGTGTATCAGTATCATTTTTAATAGAAATTTTGTTTATAATTAAATAATTTTCATGTCTTACTTGAAAATGAAGTGACCAAAAATAAGTGGGTCTGTCATTACATATGCTATTTCATCCAGTAGTCTGTTTGTATAAGAAAACAGAATATATTTAACTATTTTAGTGTATAGTCCCAAAATCAGGAGAAATTTTTAAATAGTTTTGTAATCCAATTTACTCAGTTTAAAATTTTATGCAGCATGCACTTGGCATTATGTCTAATATGTCACCCTAATCCAGATCTTATTTGTTTTCTTATAAAATTTATGTAGTTCTCAATTTTACATTTAAGTCTAATATTAATTTTGAGTTAGTTTTGTATGTGTTATTAAATGAATGCCTAAACTAATTTAAATGTGTATAAGTTATCAGGTTTCTCAGTATCATTTGTTATGTAAAGTAATCATTGCTCACTCTTTTTCAAAATAAATGCATCATGAATGTTTTTATTTCTGGACTCTCAGTTGTCTTTCTTTGGACTGTATGTATATCTTAATGTGAGTTTATGTCATTTTAATTAATGAAGATTTGCAAGTAAAGTTTAAAATCACAAACTACAATGTTACAACTTTATGCTTTCTGAAAACATAAAGCACTGAAAACACTGTATTTCTATATATGAATTTAGGAATGATGTATGACTTGCTTAATAAAGACTTCTTGGACTTAATAAGGATTGCGCTGAATACATAAATGACACTTC